CCACCAGTCTCACCAGACCCAAGAAACTCAACAAACCCACCAGACCCAAGAAACTCAACAAATCCACCAGTCTCACCAGACCCAAGAAACTCAACAAACCCACCAGACCCAAGAAACTCAACAAACTCACCAAACCCAAGAAACTCAACAAACTCACCAAACCCAAGAAACTCAACAAACCCACCAGTCTCACCAGACCCAAGAAACTCAACAAACCCACCAGTCTCACCAGACCCAAGAAACTCAACAGACCCTGAAAATCACTTTTATCACGATTGGGTCAAACTATTTACCGGTACACACAAGAGGGGAAACAGAACTAAACATCAGTTCTAACTATGACCAAACAATCTAACTAAACCTAAAATACCCCCTGCTGACAAACACATGGTTGGTCCTGTCTGAGTTGGCTTTGTGTTTTAAAAGTCCTCAGCCCTCGGCCACAYCTCCTGCCCAAACAGGAAGTAACCTCCCCAAACCAGGAAACTCAAAAAAGGAGAAACTTAATGAATATAAAAGAAAAATGTTCAGCTGCACAACAAATAAACTAATCACACTTAGATCTCTTTCTGCTAATCAAACTGAATCAAAGTGGAGATTAAACGTTTAATGGTTTTCTTTAGAAAACTTTTCCCAAATGGGTATTTTACAAATACTAATAGACTAAACTAAATTAGATAAACTGGATTAGATTGGTTTGGATCATACTTATTGACTAAAACTGGAATAAACTGCAGAAAATACAAACTTCTGTCCATTACYGGTGAGTTAACGGACTCGATGATATCCAAACTTTATCTTTGACCCAAAGACAAATTTTTCCTTCATTCCTTCACTAATTTGTTACATCAGGGTTATTTTTGAGCTTCGACCATMGTCAGATTTGAACCAAGGGTCATCTCTGAACCAGCAGCTCTGCCTCCGACCTTCTTGCCTGCTCTGAACCCTGTGGTCTTAATTCTTTTCTCTTTGCTTTAAACCAAACCAAGAGGAGCCTTCTGTTGTTACTGTTGCTCCTGCAGCCGCCTGGGTCAAATTAACCAGCTCCAGTCTGGTCAGTTTGTGTGACATTTGCTAAAGGCTTGTGTTCATGTCTGCCTATGTTTTTATCCCAAATATTCCACTAAAATACATTTAATTCACCAGTTTTTGAACTTTACTGTGATTTCTGTGCAACAACTTCAACATGTTTAAAAGTCAGTGTTTGTATGAGTGTTTTGTTGCTTTAATTAGTCAAATAAAACACTAATGTTCCTGTTTTAACTGGAACTTGAGCATTTAAACCACATGATGTGTATTGGATTGCTGTTTTAGGGGAAGCTGTTTGTGAATTTTGGACAGTGCTGAGCAGAGTTCACAGATAAGCRGTTGAATCAGAAGAGTTTGACTCAGGTGGCTGTGCTCGTGTCTGTTTTATTTTATGCAGTATGCATGTGGGAACATTTGACATCGAGCCTCTTTGTGAAGGCAGCAGATAAAAGCAGAAATCTGAAGCTGGTCTGGTATTTGTGAAATAAACCTCAAAGTTTGAACATTTGTGTTTATTCTAATCACCTAACTTTAATCATTTCAAAACAACTTACAGTTCTTTATTGCTCTTTTTTTTTCTAGAAACTGAAACAAAAACTTKAATCGAACTGGTCTTCACTTTGAGGTGATTTTAGGAAAACTGGTCCAGACAAATGAAAGATGTTTTTAATGTTAAAACTGACCTGTCAGGCTTTGTGTTGGTTTGAAACTTGTGCGTTTGCTGGGATCTGTGTGGAGACGAAACTCTGATTAGTGTTGAGAAAACAGGAACTGAACTGTGAAATAAAACTCCTRCAWAAGCTGTGTTTTGAAGAACTYCTAYGTAAACTTTATTTCTRTAGCACCTTTCACAGACATGAACATCACAAAGTGCTTAACAGAGCAAAATTACTACAAATTAAAACAGTGCATAAATATAATGAGCAGAGAGGCCAGAACAGGAGTAATGTGAGGGTGAACCATCATCTATAGTTCCTTCGCTGACAAAAAAGATCTCAGCTTTGAAACATTTCTTAGATAAAAACAGTTAYGAACCAAGAYTTTACAATGRCTRTCAAAGACAACACACAGATTTCTGAGACTATTTTTCRCAGGAGTTAAAAAAGCAAGATGCTGCCTGATTACAGGGATTTTTGTTTGCATTTAACTGCWGGAAGTTGTTGGTCAGCCATAGTTCGATTTCTGACAGATGAGTTCAGACAGTTTGCAGAACTCAGAGGCTTGAAAGAAACAGAACAACTGTTTATCAGCAGCATACAGATGGTATGACACATTACTTTTAACAGTTTAAGATATCTCCTAAGGGGTATATTACAATAAAAACAGGACTGGGCCCAAGACTGAGCCTTGGGGTACCCCAGAAGACAGCGGTGCAACATCAGAGTAACAGTRAACGGTAGAAGACCTTTCAGATAAGAGGTGAAGTAGGGATGTAAAGATACATCGATCTACATATCGATATAYRGRTTTGAATGGCTCACGATTCARTTTTATCGAGGCAAAAYGAAAATATCGATCTATATCGTCRTCATATGTTCAATAGGAATYGATATCATRTGCCCATCTAACAGTCATTGTGTTAGATGRGATATGATATTGCATTATATCGATCGCAGACGTAAATTGAATTGAATCKAAATCATATCGTGACAGACTTGGTGATATCAAGAAATATCATCGATGTAGTTTTGTATCATKATAAAGTTGGTGATTTRCACCCCTAARGTGARCCAGTTTAACGCAGAGCCAGAAATACCAAACAAATCTCTCAAACATCTTTTAGATTTAAAAGATTTGGAAAATATTGAAAGTCTTTTTAAAATGCTTTTAAAACTCCAAAGCTGAAGGCAGACAATGTTGTTTTTGCCTTTTTCTGTCTGTGAGCAAAATMTCTCAACTTTTATTACATGATAGATTGGATTTACATCAACAACTGATGGACTTTTGCCAACTGACCCTAAAAACCACAAATGTATTCAGTCCAATTTACAGACTTGACCTAATTTGACATCATGTTATTTTAAAGGTTTGCAGTGGCTTCGAGTTAAAGTGTTCTTAAAATAAAAGTTTGTTTTCTTGAATTTTAACTTTAAAGGCCTAAAGAAGGAAAAACAAACATGTTGGCAAAGTTCAAACTGATTATAGACGTGTCAGAAATGCTAAAGGTCAAAGGTTTGTTTGGAGTTTGAGAGAAAAACACTAAAAACTCCTCCTTTCTGTCTAACATCTGTCCTGTAAAGACAAACAGCTTTTTACTTAAAGGAAACTGAAGGTATCTGCAGTGGCTAAGAGGTGAAAATGGCGCAGGAAGGTAATCTGATCAGCTCATTAAGAATCTCCTGTTCCATCTGTTTGGACCTTCTGAARGATCCCGTGACGATYCCCTGCGGACACAGCTACTGTATGAGATGTATTAAGACATGCTGGGATACGGAGAACCAGAACAAGGACCTCAGCTGCCCTCAGTGTCGGCAGAGATTCCCATCGAGGCCTGAGTTGAAGAAAAACATCATGTTGGCAGAGTTGGTGGAGGAGCTGAAGAAGACTGACCTCCAAGCTGCTGCGGCTGGAGCTGAAGATGTKTCCTGTGACGTCTGCTCTGACAGGAAGCTGAAAGCTGTCAAGTCCTGTCTCAACTGTTTGGTTTCTTTCTGCCAGAAACACCTCCAGCCTCACTATGAAGCATCGTTGTTTCAGAAACACAAACTGGTGGATCCACAGAAGAAGCTGCAACAACACATCTGTCCTCGTCATGATGAGGTGATGAAGATCTTCTGTCGTACTGATCAGCAGTGTATCTGTTATCTCTGCTTAATGGAYSAACATRAAGRACAYGAAACWGTCTCAGCTGCAGCAGRAAGAGCTGAGAAGCAGAAGGAGCTGGAGGAGAKYCGACAACAAATCCAGCAGAGAATCCAGGAGCGASAGAAAGATGTGAAGCTGCTCCAACAGGAGGTGGAGGCCATCAATGTCTCTGCTGATAAAACAGAGGAGGACAGTGAGAAGATCTTCACTCAGCTGATCCGTCTCATCCAGAAAAGAAGCTCTGATGTGAAGCAGCAGCTCAGATCCCAGCAGGAAACTGAAGTGAGTCGAGTCAAAGAGCTTCAGGAGAAGCTGGAGCAGGAGATGACTGAGCTGAAGAGGAAAGATGGCCAGCTGGAGCAGCTCTCACACACAGAGGATCACAACCAGTTTCTCCACAACTACCCCTCAGTGTCAGCACTCAGTGAGTCTCCACACTCATCCAGCATCAAGACTCGTCCTCTCAGATACTTTGAGGACGTGACGGCAGCTGTGGACCAGCTCAGAGTCAAGATACAGGACGTCCTGAGGGACACCTGGACAAACATCTCRMTGAGAGGAAYTCAAGATTTAGTGTCAGAACCAAAGAGCAGATCTGAGTTCTTGACTTATTTCCAGGAGCTCTCTCTGGATCCAGACACAGCAGACACACACGTGTTGTTATCTGAGGGGAACAGAAAAGCTACTTTTACAGAACAACAACAGTTTTATCCTGATCATCCAGACAGGTTCTCTGCTTGGTGGCAGGTTCTGAGCAGAGAGAGTCTGAGCGGTCGTTGTTACTGGGAGGTGGAGTGGAGCGGCAGAGGGGTCTGTGTAGCCGTCGCCTACAAGGATCTAAGCCGAGCAGGAGGGTCGTATGAATGTGGATTTGGATTCAATGAGAAGTCCTGGGCCCTGCACTGTGAGACCCACAGTTACGGGTTTTGGTACAACTTCGTTCACACTCCAGTCTCAGGTCCTGCTTCCTCCAGGATCGGAGTGTACCTGGACCACAGGGCAGGGGTTCTGTCCTTCTACAGCGTCTCTGACACCATGACCCTCCTCCACAGAGTCCGGACCACCTTCACTCAGCCGCTCCAYGCTGGAGTTTGGATCTCRAACTTTGAAGGAGACTCTGCTGAGTTCAGTAAAATCAACTAGAAACTCATGAAAGGAGGAAAGTTTCTCTTTGGTTCTTCTCATCATTTCTGTTCCTGTGAGCAGTGAACAGAAGAGATTAAACATTTCTGTCTGATCAGACAGAAGCAGCTGAGCACAGAACATTCATCAGATCAGACTAAATGTGCAGATAAATCCTGAATCAGCTTTTTCATTTAGGTTCTATAAACTGATTCTTATTTGACTTTAGCTCACAGAAACACTGAGTAATAATTAGTTGATCTATTAGTTGAATAGGGTTGTGTTGGCTTACGCGACTCTGCAATATCGCATGGACATCAGGGTCAGTCCCCCTGGATTGGCAGACTGGGGTGGTGGTCCCCCTATTTAAAAAGGGGGACCGGAGGGTGTGCTCCAATTACAGGGGGGGGGTCACACTCTTAAGCCTCCCTGGTAAGGTTTATTCGGGGGTCCTGGAGAGGAAGGTCCGTTGGATAGTCGAACCTCAGATTCAGGAAGAGCAGTGTGGTTTTCATACTGGTCGAGGAACACTGGACCAGCCCTACACTCTCAACAGGGTCCTGCAGGGTGCATGGGAGTTCGCCCAACAGGTCTACATGTGTTTTGTGGACTTGGAGAAGGCGTTGGAC